ACAAAATAAAACATTACTCACAAGGAAATATTTCAAATAACTGAAGCTGTTATAATACAAAAGAAAAAAAATGACATTAAATAATATATCTTTCACCACAGGCAACAGTATTTTAAAAATTGTATAAAATAATAAATTATTTGATGGATTCTTTTCCCAGTGAACTCTAGCTCTGAAATCATTCTGCACATGGTGTCATTTATACAACATTTATATTAGAAACATACAATAAAAAATTAAACACACTTGGCAATTGAATTTAACAAAACTTACACACTTAAAGGTTCATTTAAATCTTCATTACCATTAATTTTCATTTATATTTCAGACTCTTAAAGAAGTTGCCAATATAAATATTAAGATATTTATGAATTGCAAAGATAAACTGTCTGAGTTGCCACTGACCAAGTAAGTAATGTATTCCTCTTCATACCCAGAAGAAAATGATGGCTTTTTTGGATTCCATCCTAGCTCCTTTTTTTTTTTCTTTTTTCAGTAATATGTTATATTTGTATAATGATTAAAATTTTACCTGTGCCAACACATATTTATTGTATTGACACTTACAGTAAATACATTCTTATTTTCATTATTTAATGTTTCTGTTTCTCTCTTCATCCAAAATTATTATTTATTGCTTATTGTTATAATTTCACCCTTTGGCACATCAATTAATCCAGGTTTAAATATTCTCATCTTTGAGTTTTTTTGGTTTTTTTAAAATCACCATTTTACAATTTTGACAACATTTCGCATTGAATGAATTTAACAGGTTTGGGTTCATGTACAATGAAAGCTGCATGTTTTCTCTCATATAATCTCTCTTCCTGCATCATTTTTCACTAAATAACTTTCAGCTTTCCTTTGTTCCTTAAAAGTTAAACATTTTTAGCTTAATGTTAAACAATAAGTGCATACATTGTTTTTCTTTTTTTTTCTAGCAGTGAACATTCGTGTTTATTACAGTATTCACAAGAAAATACTTGTTTTTTGTCATAAATTATTTTATAGTTTTTGTGTTCATTGCTTAAAGTACATTCAAAGCCTCAAAATTCATGTTTACATATTTTTCTCTAATATCATGGTTTTATTTCAGCTTTTATCGGTATGTGTTAGAACCTGATCTCAACTTCAATGCTGATGGCAGTGCAAGCCCTGGACCCTTGGCTCGGTTTGAAAACTTGCCTCAGAAGTCCTTACTCACACTGAATATGCATCCACCAGAAAGTTGGTTGGTGGAATCTGTGAAATCACTGTACGACTTGGACAATATCATGCTTGAAGAGGTCAGTTGCTTCGCAGCTTTTATTTTTCAGCACTTGGAAAGTAAAACTTTAACAGATTTTTTTTTTTTTTTTTTCCTAAATAATTTTTTGTTAAATTTAAAGAAAAAAAAATCTAATAACTGTACATTTTAATGACTTTTATTCAGTTCTACTCTTCCATTTAATTCCTATTAAACATGCACTGCGTTTACATCATAAAACATATATATTGCTGTGGATTCATTTCAAAGTGATCAAATTATTACCAGAGAAATAACTGAAAAAAGACCTATTCAACAACACCAACTCAAACAATACTTAAAAATAAATAAATAAAATTATACAAGCAAATCTAAATATAGGGGTGAATCAAAAAGTAAAACCAATTTCCATACAACACCTTTATTTCTATTGATGAACAAGTGCATATGTCACTTTTCAATGTAGTCCACCCTGTATAGTGATGCACTTCTGGTATCATTCAACAATCTTTTGCAAAAAAAGCTTTACAGTTGCTCACAAAGTCACGTCTGTACTGGTTGCTTGTTTGGGCACCCAACGCACACACTTTGTGGCACCCCAAGTCATCATATTGGCAACTAGGTCACATCGTTTTATTGTTTAAGAAACTAGATATAACTGTAATTTCTATTCTAATAGTTTCTTTTCTTGCACTTCTCGCCTGTGGATCTCTCTTCCGGTTTCTTACTTCCCTGCCTTCAAAAATTTAAATACAACATCAACTGCAATCTTCTGTCTTCCTGAATTCTGTTCTTTCATTATCCTTTCTCCACATTAAAGTCTTCTCATTCTCTTTCACTCCCTTTAACCCGTTGCATTTTAGTGGCATTATTGCCTTCCTTAGGGTGAAAAAAAAAACAAAAAAAAAAAACACTGGCATGTGCACATCCATAGCTGATATCCATGATTGCTAACACCTGTGCTAGCGTAATATGTCAGTCTTCCCTGATTCTATTTTTCTGTGCGCAATGTTAATGGGTGACTTTTTGTCCATTACACTTTTTCTTCCCGCTTTAAAATGTTCTATCCATTCATTAATTTTTTTTTCATTCATGTTGTATTCTCCATACTGTGCTAATATTTTGTGGTAGATTTCTGCAGGTTCTACACCCTCTACTCACAGCACACTATGACATGTTGTAATCACTAAATGGAACATTTATATGTCTGACCACCTTGTTCCCTGTCACTCTATGTACATTGTTACGTGTCAGCATCTACCTTTTTATTTTTACTTTGTAATTTTGAAATTACCTTTTACTTTGTGATTTGCCTTCATACAATTTAAAAAAATATAAAGAGATATCCCTAGACATAGTCAACTGAACAAGATCACCTACTTCCTTAGATTAAATAAAGGGTTTAGTTTGAAATTCTCTGAAGGTTACCCAGATTGACAAGTATCTGATGAAAAGAAGAGGGCACAACAGCCAAAATGTGATAACATCATCAAAGATGAGAACAGTAATCTGCATGTAATATAAATAATTACAATTTAGAAAGCAAAAAAATCTTTAACAACTCTATAAAACATTTTTACTCAAACCAACCAACATGCTAAATGTGGAATAACAAATGAAAAAAAAAACACCACTGAACCATAAATCCAAATTTAGTAAATCCCACACTAACAAAAAAAAAAAAAAAAAATTGGTCTTCATGTTAAACAATCCACAATCTCTGTATGTTTTGTTTCATTGACTGTGTTACTTTAAATTTCTGACAGGCCAAAAATGGAGTTTCTGCTGATTTTGAATTGGAATACCTCTTGCTGGAAGGTAATTACTTAATGATTTGTATCAACTATATAAAAATGAATGCCTCTGTTTAAGTTGTTTATATTATATATATATATATATATATATATATATATATATATGGCCTAATAATTGTGTTTAAGCATGAAACACTGTTGTCATCCAGTGTTGATACCCATGTCCTTACTGCTTATATTTACATATGCTCTATAAGTTCTTGATATTTTCACAGAGCATACCTTCAGAACTATATTTTATCAGATATTCATTCTTTCAATAAAACTTTATCATGTACAAATTGAAAATTTGGAATTTATTAAGTTGAGTCATAAGTAATTTTCATTTTGGGAAACGAATTGTAATGATGAATATATTATCTTAACTATTAATAGTACATGGCAGTTAAAAATAAATTTGGAGTGAACCTTAGATTTTGCATGGTAATGGCAGCATACATTGTGGATTAAAGGAATAATGTTATTCTCCTTCATGACAAAAAAAAGGCCACATATAGAAAGAATATCACAGGGAAACATTTTTGAACTTGATTGGTTTGTGGTATCTCACCTGCCATATTCACCTGAGTTTGCATCAATAAATTATTAACTTTCTGATTGCTGCAAAACATTTTGCTGGTGGAAAACTTTCTTTAATGAAAACCAGGTTCAAGAATTCTTCAAAAACTTTTTCACGCCAAATCCTGTGGAATCTTTTGAGTATCAAAAGGTATTGAAGAATCACTTGATAAGTGACAAGTAGTCATTTCAAATAATGGTGAATATGCAATTGAATAAAATGTACTTCATTTAAGAATCTGGGTGAGATGGCCTTCGACATTTCAGGCGCTTGGGGTTGATAACAAGGTTGTGTTTTGTTAACAGAAGCCTTTCTGGGGAGGTCTTTGGTCCTTCTACCTCTCCTGTGAGACACCTGAGTCATGGCCTTCCATCAGAGAATGAATAATGCTCAGCGTAAACTTTTCAGTATTGACTTGGCAAGCTGACTTTGCTTTCCAGATGACCAGGGCAGAAGCAGAATTCAAGTAAAAAAAAAAAAAAAAAAAAAACTTTTTTCCAACCACTTGATAGATCGATGCAGCACCATGTAGTACGTTAGCTGCTTGTCAGTTCTGTCTACTCCCCCATCTGCTGAGAGTAGGTCTGTACGCTTGTACACAATCTTGGTATGATTTTCATGTTTTGACCTTACTTCTTTTCTAAATGTCTCAGCAGTGTGGACAGTTGTCATCAAATTTACTGGCATTCTGTCATACCAGGAAATATATAAAATGTATCTGTATCTGTGCATGATGTGGGGGGGGGGGCACCTGGTCATGGTTTTGTTGTTTTTATTTCACTAGGTACATCATTTTGGTTCACACAGTGTGCCATGTTGGGCTAGGTAGTGAAACAATGTAGGGGATGAAAAAAAATTGTCCATGTAAATTATATGTCCCCTGTTTTGTATATTCTCTGACAGGGAAGACACAATTTTGTGGGCAAAACCAACTGTCTTTGGTACCTGGGCTGTTTTGCGGCCCAAGTATAGCTGCCAATTATAAATGTACCCAGTTTTTGAGTCTGCTAGTTCCCAGGCTCTCAGGCCCCACATAGTTGGTTTTGCTGGCATATACATTAACAAGCTTCTCCTGCCTTTGAAAGGTATCATATTTTCATCCACTGAAAGTTCCTTTCCAATATAAAAATATTTCTGCCAAAGTGACACGAGTTTATCAGAAAATGGTCGAATCTTGTATGCTCTGTCATGTTCAGGGTGATTTCTCGGTTTTGCATGTGTATTGTCAGAAAGACAAAAAAGACAAAATTCTAAAAAAAAAAAAAAAAAAAAAAAAAAAAAAAATGGTCTTGTGGCATAATATTTCTAAAACCTGAAATTTGGATAAACACATCCATTGACCAGTAAGTGAAATGAAGGCTGCTTTGTGAGTCCATCAACAAGTAAAACAAGTCTAAGAAAGCCTTCATTTTGGCGAAAGTGACTTCATGTTTTTACATATGTGTAGACACCCACATTTGTCCACTTCCTTTCTTTGATGAGCATATTTATTTGTCTCATTGACAAATAAAGTAACTATTTCATTGTTTATGAATAAATGAAATAATTCACCTTCAGAAAGATGTCACTAAGCTGCCATCACGTGACTTCATCTCAACCATCAAAGGGAGATAATAGCTTTTAGTATCCCTAAAAATCAATTCATAAAATAAAAATTTGCTTTCATATACTTTAATATAATTTCAAGTTCATGGTTTTGTCATCTGTTCTTAGGTCATTGTCATGATTCCAGTTCTGGTCAGCCTCCTCGCGGCTTGCAATTCACTCTTGGCACAAACAGTACACCTGTCCTTGTAGACACAATTGTCATGGCTAATCTTGTGAGTAATTCTACATTGGTTTCTTTGTTGTTATTTTGAATTTTTCACCTGTGCATACCTCCCTCTGTCTGTTATGTGGACAACTGGAAAACTCCTAAGAAGATTTATGGACAAAAGTCTATAAACACTGGACACAATCCATTCAAGTGAAATTTTTCTTTGTTTCTGTTCTTTTTATAGGGCTACTTCCAGCTGAAAGCTTACCCTGGTGTGTGGCTCTTGCGTTTGAGAGAAGGACGCTCACGAGATATTTATGAAATTTTGAGGTAAGACTTTACTCTGGTTATTTAATAGTTTTGTTTGATTCATGAGGAAGACACTTTCCATTGACTAAATATCCTCACTGTCTTTTGTTTTTCTGTGTAACCTTTAGTGCTGTGTAAGTGACTTCATTCACCAAGTAGAAAGTTTCTCTCACCACTGCAGGTGACATATCACCAGGGCCTTTTTTTTTTTTTTTTAAATGCCATTTCCATTGAGGACAAAAGAGATCATAACTCTCCTCAGATTTCTTTATTATCTGTGAATTATCATACACTCTTGGGAAAGATAATGAAGTGGTTTTCCACTAATTTCTCCACAGTTTGGGATTCTATGTTTCCCCTCTACTAAATCTTGATTACCACCCAAGATTAGAGAGCCCAATCTCTCCTGCATTATAACTCTAGCTGGGAGAAGACAGATTCATGTCTTTTGTACAAAAGTAAATGCAAAATCCCCAAAATTTGAACTCTACTCACTAATTCCACTTTCAGCACTGAGAACCATTACAATACCTGTACAGCCTATCACCAGATATTACTGTATTAGAATTTAATAACTGTGTTGTCATGTCCTTCTATGGCAACAGCACAGATAATCCTCTTTTTTTTTTTTTTTAAATCATTTTACCCCAAGCAAGGCAATAATGCCACTAAAGTCATAAGTGGCTACTCTTAGCGAAAGAGAATTAGAAAACATTAGAAGTCACTGGAGCCCCAATCTTAAGCTGGAAACAAGGGATAAACCTCTACACCTATTCAAAAGACCGGGGAAGAGTATGAACCGTATGATAGGTAACCCTATCTACAAATCAAGAATAAGGTTGCTGCAGTTGATTGGAAGGGAAGTAATGTTCGTGAATAATGAAGAGTGCTGAAAGTTAACAGATGATTGATAATTTCTGATTATGCCTGATTTTGTTTTCTTTCAGGCAGATATATTTCGGCTTTTTTATTTTAAATAAGGATTTCCTTATAGTTGGTTCACATATTTTAATTTAGTAAATTTTTAGAAATTTAGGAATAAAAAATTTTCATATTTTATAAATTGGTAAATGATATTGAATTAGTTTTAATACAATTGAATTAGGTTTTAGAATATTGTAAAATTATTCTTGTAAATAAACAATCAAAATAATATTTAATATTTTTGTTGTAAATTCTCAAGAACAAAAAAAAATATGCAAATTCAGTTTCATCATATGTTTAGGTTTTATTACAGTTTTAATCATTACTTTGTAAAAAAAAAAATTGCCAAGGAGTAAAGGTCAATAAAATAATAGCAATGTCAAGGGGAAAACCCTTCTTTAGACACGCCATTTTTTTTCCAGGCACAAAGGTCCAAGTTTGCCAAATGTTTATTATTCATTATTTTGTTTTTTGTTTTTTAATGTCAGTTATTTTTTTTTCTGTATTTAACAGCCATGAAATGACAGATACCCCAGAAAATTCCAAAGATGTAATTGTGGCTATCAGCAGCTTCAAGAGCAAAACTATCCGCATTAAAGTAAGTGACTGCATTTGTTTACCTCAGGTTTTAGATGGGGGGGTCATACAATTTTTTTTTCTTTTCTTTTTCTCTCACTCTCTCTCAAATTTTGAGATAAGGCATTGTCATTATTCAGATTATTTAGCGATTTTTTTTTTTTTTTTTTTTTTTTTTTTGACTAGCATCCTTAGCTTTATTTACATTATTTATTTGAAGACTATTGTCCTCACCTTTGTTGTTGTCATCACACTTCAGCTGTTGTGTTCTACAGCCTCCATCTGGTGTTCGTTAATCTGGAAAACCTTGAAGGAATTTCAAATTGAACCCTTTATTTAATCTATGGGGGTAGATTATTTTCATTCCGGTGACCATGTCTGGTGATATTTGTAGTTCTTAATTCTCTAGACATAATGGAATGAGAGCAATCTATTTTCATAGCTTAAATAAAGGGTTCAGTTTGAAATTCCCTAGAGGTTACCTTGATTGAGGAACACCTGATGAAGAGTAGAGTGAATAATGGTCGAAATGTTGTTATAAAGCACATCAAGCCTGGTCAGTACCTAGATAGATGACTGCTTGGCAATACCAGGTGCTTTTTGCTGTAAGTTTAGATGTATGGTTGGTGTAATAGATAATGGCTCAGAATTGTTAATCAGAGAGTCAAGTTCCAATTCCCTTTGAGTTTGTTATTTTCACTTATGTACAAATACCCTTGGGAAAGGTATGAATCCACCAATTCTGCCCCCTCAGTTATGGGTTTATTAGTAGGATTTGTATCACTAAAACCATTATTATCTTAAAAAAATAAATAAATAAATTTGCATAAAAATATATAGATATCAGTATTGAATAACCCCATAGAGGTGTTGATATGCAGCTAAACACAAAGTAACAATCTCAGAGCAGGAAAAACAGCTTTTGGTATTAAACTAAAAATTAGTAATATACATACTTTTGGTGCAATTTGTTATCCAAATGAATAGTCAAAAGACTTAATGCTGGAAGCAAAAAAAGTTATTTTTGTGGGCCATGATAGAAGCAGTTCAGGATACTTTGTAGAGTGAGTAGAATCAGTTTCATGTGTGTGTTTGGCTGTATATATCTCAGTAAGGGGAAACAAAGATCGTTACTTACCATTTAAAGCCGAGTGCTATATGCCTTACAAGAGCAAAACTGTTACTGCGTTTTTGCTTCATTTTTTTATGCAAGAGCATAGTTTCATAGTGAACTGGAAGTTGCCAATGATTGGACTATAAATTGCCAAAAGGATGTGATTAAAAATTGAGGAAAAGTTGTAGCTGATGGATTGCACACAAGTCTATACAGTATCAGCTGGGTCACCATGGAGAGGAGTTATGATGTTGAAAGACCCGAAACCCTTAATAAACCTCATCTAAAAACATCACTGATGATGATGATGTGTGCCAGAGCATTAAACAGATGTATTTCATGAAATGGTATATCTTCAGAAAGGAAACAAAAATTTAAAAAAAAAAAAAAATATAAGTTCTTTATAAATTTCACCAATCTCTTTGAATCTGGATGGTGGGAGTTAAGCTATGAATCCATCACCTGTGCCATCTGAAGATGAAATAATTGCTAAAAGACTAGAGTTTATTGAAATTGTGCTATTTGAACAAAAAAGTAGAATATTTTTGTTTGAAGCAATATTGTGTATTAATAGGGAATATACTAGAGGCTATTGTTAATATACCCAGCACATATGAAGAAGCCATCATTCCTGTTAATTAAAACCATTGACAAGAAACTATTCAAGATGAAATGAATACTCTAAGGCAGGGTTTCTTGAGCAGTGGGGAATTCCTCCCTAGGGGGTGGAATTTCAGCATTTCAATGGGGGAATAGGGGTCATAGATTGATAGATTCAAAATGTTAACTTTCAAGCTCCCCAAGGTGGCACAACCCACAATGTGCATCATCTGTGCAACTGAGAGGTCACACTAGATTTTCTAGCTCTTGTGTTTTTTGCCACTATAAAAATAATCCATGTAAGTGTATATGTACTAATAAGGAAAAGAATGAAGATTTTCAATAATATATGCATTTTATTTGAAATGCACCTTGTACAGTCTTGGAAAGGTGGAGAATGACATCCTGAAAAGGGTGCATCAGGCAAGATAGGTTGTGAACCACTACTCTAAGGTAAAGTAATGAATTTGTTTTTACAAAAAAAAACATCAATTGATGGAAACAAGCAGGTTAGTGAGTTCTTTAAATCAGACAAAAATAGTAAGGAAGAAATATAAGGCAAGTTTTCTTGTAAAGGAATTATTACAACTTCCTGGAATTTATTATTCTTATGAGATATTTTCCAGTATATTACATCTATCCAAGTATTAATGTAGTTAGCTGTTGATTATTCACTAGATATATGTTAAAATTGTCTATTTGGACACTTCAATCAATTGTGAACTGATGTGGAACAACCTGGTTTTGTAGTTCATGGCAAAAATAGTGAAAAACTAGTATGTCAACTAAAAAAGTCCTTATATTGTTTGAAACAAAACAGACTGAACTAGAATACTATATTACACTGCTCAAGGACTAATCAAGACTTCATCCAATTATTTGTGAATTCTTGTATGTAAAGTAATCATGTTATAGATAAAATGCTAATTTTGTGTTGATAATAATATTGCACTAAAACTATAATTCTACAATCATTGATTTTGTTACATACCGTACCTATGAATATCAATGGGTATGTCCCAATCCTCATAAATATATAGGACACTAGCGTAAGTTGTGGTAATATGCTAAGTAATCCATCACTAGCAGTGGTTTACCTGCTTCACGTCGCTGGCGAGTATTGTATTTTGTTGATGTTATAAAGATTACCATTCCAATTCCAACCTCCGTTTTGGTTATTCCTCTTTCAGTAACCCTTTCTAGGTTACAACAGATTTCAAAAAAGCACTTGAATCATAAAATCAATATGAAAGATATTAGAGAAATTGTTTTGCTGTTTGGTATACAGTTCACATGTGAACATGATGTAATTACAATCATCCAGTTCAGATATGTAGAAAATTCCATAACCAACATTGGAAAACAAAATTGAAAAAACAGGTAACAAATCTAAATTATGAAAAAAAAAATAGATTGGTGCTGAATCACAATTTATACAGACAAATATTTGTAATTTTAATCTTCATTATGATAGCTACTCAGATTTATGTTATATTGTAACAAAGTTATCAGAAAGCCTGGCAAAACAGGGTCTACATTATCTAAAACATATAAAGGATTAAAATCTTAATTTCATAAACACAAACTACTTTGTTTAATTGCTTTCTATGATATATGTACTGAGGTAATTCTAAAGACTCTCATCATCTAATTGGTTATGTTTTTAAACTGTTGTCAAATAGTTTGTTGATATCTTGGAAAAGTGAAAGATACCATACTACTGCACTATGTACTTGTGAGGCTTCAGCAGCCAGAACACAAGAGCTCCAAGTTCTTAATTCAATTACTGAAATGTGTGACAAATTCTGATTCATTCAACTGTGTCACTATATATTGATACAATCAACTTGCTTTAGCTATTATGTAAAATCCTGTATAATGTCAAAGATCAAAGCATTGATGTGTTGTACAACTGGTATAAATTCTATCTGACCAAAATGTATCAAACATATTCACTAAACCTTCAATTGGAGTTGAAAAGATTTATCAATGATCTTATGTGAATCTAACCCTAAACATAAATTTTGTATTTCATAGTTTTAAATCGTTCGGTGTATAAAGGAAAATAGATTCTAAAAAAAAACTGTTGGTAGGGAATGTACCTTAAGCCTATAACTAGGCAATGATATTTTCATTTATTCTATTTTCCCCTTTTTACAACTCTGATTATAAGATGTAATCACATGTAGAGGGGGAAAAAGTGTCCCCACTGGGGCACATCCATATCCAATGTCTTACTTTTCTCTTCTGACTTTTTGTGCTCTTTCAAACACATGTCTATAACATAGGCCTATATACATTTCACATGTACAAACACATGCTCTGATTTAAATGCTTTATGAAACTTCATGAAGTTATGAAACTTAAAATGTTTTCTTCTTTTATTGTAATTGTAATACTTTTATTAATACATGTATTGTCATTTGTTTTATATTATTTTGCTGTTACTCATTTATTGCTTGGACTCACATTCAAATCTGCAATAATTGTTACAGGAAAACTAATACTATGAGACAGTGTTTTCTACATAAACATAACAAGCCTTCCTGCAACAAAACAGTTTGATTTTGCACTAACCAGTTATAATCAAATATATTATTTGATTATAAAGTATCACACTCTATGGTGATTTTCTAAGCATAGCTTAGATGTGACACAAGGCCAAAAGTATGGAGCATTCAGTGAGAACTGAACTTACAACTCAGTAGTAATTGTTTTCGTGAGACAAGCTTGCTAATCATTACACCACATTGAGGTGCCCAAGTGCCACTGTGCATGATTTATGATTGTATGTTTGCAGGCTATTTGATGAAATAAATACTACTTAAAATAAAATGTTGTGTCTACTCAAATACAGGTATCCGCTAAAAATAACATTTAAAGTAATAAAAATATTTTGGGTTAAAAAAAAAATAAAATCCATTAATTCTTTAGAAATTGCTTTGTTTACATTTCAGATATGAAATTGAGCAGTTATACCTTTCTAGAAAATCATAATAAGTGAATGTGCATTAAAGGCAAATAGAACCTTGCTTGATTGTGAAGCTCTTCATAACCAAGCAGTTGAAGTACACTAGTGGTTTCTCCCTGCAGCGGGGGGTGGGGGGGCATTTGCTTTAATAAGTTTTTCTCTAGGGTGCAGACTGGTATCTACTATATACTGTTTAAAATAAACAAATCATCTCCTCAAATATGGTTATTCACTAAAAGTAACATTTGAATAAATAAAAATATGTTGGATTAAAAAAATAAAATCCATTAATTCTTTAGGAATTTACATGTGATGAAAGTGGCAGAGTATGTCTCTCCATTGCAGGCCTCTTGAGCCACAAGAAGAGTTATATTGGTAAAACTTTGACAAATTACGATCAGTACTACATTTAGTGACATGCATAGGTTTGGTGATGCCCATGCCAACTCCTTTATTCTATGTCCCTAAGACTCAAGTAGGAGGGCTTACCCCAGTCTCGCTTATCAAAACACAGATCCACATTCACACCAGCTTGTGGGATTGTAGGGTATTTGTATAACGAAGTTAATAATTTCAAATTTCAAAAACTAAATTTTTATTTCACTCTTTGATTGTGTGCCCTCCCAATATGGATGCCTGGAGTTGTTGCACCATACCCCCCCCCGCTCAACTTCTGCACGCTACTGACTATACTGGAAATAACATGCTGGGTGTGTCAGAAAACCTGCAGAAACCACTCTGGTCTAACCTAACACACAAAATCCTATGAGAAAGCTGAATAGAGTTTACAAAACTGGTCAAGCCCTTTATGAATCAACTTAGTTTGCTTCTGGCTTCAACAACCTTTGTTGTTCTCATGAGAAATAAAACCTTGATCAAACTTGTCATTGATGGTGGTACTTGTTTAATGAATCAACAGCCATCTTATATGAAATAGAGATTAAATTATATTGAAATCTATACTGGTGTTTGCTTTACTGCACTGCTATCAGTGTAAATATCACAACAAACAAGACTGGATATGATGGATGATAATATTTGTGATTAGTTTGTTCTTTTGTCAAATCCTAACAAAATATCTGAAGTTGAAGCACACACACACACACACACACTATATATATATATATATATATATATATATATATATATATATATGTGTGTGTACCTTGGTATTTATTTTAGTTATTAAAAAAAAATACAAAACTTCTATGAAAATTTGCTTTTCCTTATCAATCAACCAAGAGACTACCTGTACAATATTTGAATGTTTTATTATTTGAACTTGTTTAGATATTTACCTATACACCCTCTCAAAATAGAATGTGTCACAAGTTTAAAGTGTAAACCCATGCATACATAAACTTGAAACAAAAATTGCCCAAGTCCTGACCAGACTTTCCCTCATGGGGATACTCCAGGTGACAGATAATGACCCTAAACCTTCCCTGAGAGAGAAGGTATTTCTTGGGTGGACAATCCTCTGGGACTTGAGCATATTATATTAATTTTTAATTACCTATTTGAGTTATGTAAATAATATTTTGAAACTTGTGATTTAAACATATAATGTTTATTATTAATTCACAGAAGCAGATAAGTAACAAATTCTTTTTATCATTTTCTCAACAAGAAAGAACTGCTCTTTTTATTAGACATATTTTTAGGATACCAATACTGAAGGAACGTAAATCAAAGTTATCTCCCTTAGGTTGTCGGCATTAAATCTTTTTAAATATCTGGAACAAATTATAACATTATTTTTCAGTGTAAAATTCTTTAATTTAAGTTTACATGTTATCTCTTCCCACTAATATTAGAAAGGCATATCTTTTTCTGTTTTTTTTTTTTTTTTAGTTTCTTCAATTTTACTGTAAATCATAATCATGGTGTTAAGAAAACTGTCTTCTAACTCAGATGTTTGCTTTTCAGGATCAGTTAAAAATATTTCAAATATTAATTTTTAAGACAAGCAGATTTTATCCACTTAGAAAATTGACGCAACAGTCTTCCTAATACCTCATTTTCTTCTTTTTTTATACTATTGTTCACCCAATACAAGGCCTAAGTGCCACTCAAGGTAGAGGGTTACTGAATGGGGATGCTGTAAGAGTGTAAAGGGTTGCATATTATGAGGATATCAGAAGAGGTTAGGATTGTAGTTACCAGCAAAGCATCCCCTCAAGAGTTAGTTTCACATTGCAAAAATTCTTTGGGAAGAAATTACAGGCATACCACAATATGATAACCAGTAATACAGTGAGCTAGAGAAAAACAACAATTGTAATATGAGCTCTGATAAAAAGTGATTACTGGGTCATTAGGCTAATAAGTCCCGAAAATTCACTCGCTGCAGAGGTTAGAATAAATAGGTTTGAAAAAAAATTGGAAAATAAAATAAGAGATATGGAATAACAGTGGATGAGTTGTGGGGGGGATCAAAATTTAAAAAGGTCCCTCAATTCTGAATACAAGAGTAGATAGAAAATTACAAGATAGAAAATTACAAGTTTTCAGTCTATTCTTGCAGTAGTGAAAATTAAAAATTCAGTTAATAATTGCATTTCAGTGTATATACTTATTGATCCACCATCATACTAAATCTTTGCCTTCTCAAATGTGACCCATTTTCTTTTAACTGTGCTTAGCTGTCACAGAGAGCTTAAAATTTCAAAATAAAATTATTCATAGATTTTTCTTTTAAACTTCCACATAATTAAGTATCAAAAGTACAATAAAAAAAAACAACTTTTTTAAATTCCTTCTTAAGCATATTTTTAAATTTCTTCAAGCAAATGAGAAAACTCAGAAACAAGTTATCATTTTGTTGCACATCTGCATAAATTATTTATTGTGAGCTTTACTAATGACATCAAATTTTGTAGATATTTTTATCCACTGATTTTCTGGAGACCCAGTTTGTCCATTTTGTGTATTATTTATTTATTATTCTCCACTATGAGAGGAAGTATTGAATAGTATATTACCATTCTTTTCTCTTAATTCTGTGGTTCCTTCCTACATTAACCATTTTGTCTTGAATTATGATGTAAACAATGTAGAGAACAAGATGGGACTATCAGTAGACAGTTACTACTTCTATATTCATTTTATTGTGTATCTGTGATTATAAGATTACAGAGTTGCTTGTTCTGAATTGGAAGTAGTCACTAATGAATGAAATAAGAGGCTATGGTTGTTACATATGTCAGTAAAGGTAGATACTGCCTCAATGCACATTGTAGTTCATATGTCATTTTTTTTCTTTTTTCTTTTCTAACTTTAGGTTGGTAAAAAGAGTGACAAGTTACCTGAGGAATTATTAAAGGATGATGATGATGACGATGATGAAAGTATGGGAATCTGGGATTCTATTTCCAGGTAAGTGAATACGTTAAAACTTTTGAAAGCACATCTTGTTTCATTGTAACTTGACAGTCATTGCCTTTTAAAAAAAGACCCATGCAAAACCAGCACCCAAACTTAAAAAAATCTTTAAGTCCAGTAAGTAAAACTTGATCTCATGGTTTTGAATTGAGCAGAAAAACTTAGATTGAAACAAATTCACAGAACTTTTATCCCATGATATTGAAAATCAGTTTCCTGATTCATAACCATTAATTCTTTATACCATGTGTAATTTCTGAAATTCTTGAGGAAAGACACTGCATGTGATAGGTATAGACGTGAGAACAATATGTCTTCATGAATTAAATAAAAAGAAAGTTATATTGGTTAGTCTGAGAATGTTGAGAAAAAACAATAAACATGAGAGGGGTAAAAGTATGATGAAAATGAAGGCAAGCAAACTTGTTCAAGTGAATCAATTCATCATCATCGTAATGATATCATTATCATCTCAAACAACTATTTTTTTTGTAAGCAAAACATCTTCCCCTATTTTGAATTAAGTATATTATGGCTCTGAAACTTGGACTCTCTCAGCAAAACAACAGCATCGTTTAGATGGATGTTATGCACGTCTTTTAAGAAGAGTGCTTAATCTCTCATGGCAAAACCACCCAACTCTAGAAATGATATATGGTGACTTGCCAAGAGTATCAACTTTAGTTTGTAAGAGACGTGTCCAGTTCACCAGTTTTTTTTTTCTTTTTTTTTTCTTTTTTTTTCTTTTTCTTTTTTTTTCTTTTTCTTTTAAGTACTGTGTGAATTTTTCTAGTCCTCTTTCTGGTGCAGTGATTCAGCCATCAACACTTTAATCTTCTAGGTTACTTTCCCATGGTACAATGCCGAAGCTACAATTTGGAGCCTTAAACCTTATGGTCCTATTAACTTGCAGCTGCTACTAAGCATGACTCCCTCTGTTACTACTTTTCCCCTCGTATTGCTACTGATGTAGCACTGCTCTCAACCTTGGTTCTCTCTGCTGTTGTTTCTCTAAATTAATCGATCCCTTAGGGTATTTATATCTATGCTAGGTCTACTGATAAGGTTATCATTGACTTGCATACAAAAGAAATTAAATTCCTGTTAGAATAGGAATCTATATATAAAGATATAAAATATTACATTTCTATCACTATATAAAAAAAAGCAGTTTTTAATGCCTTCTTGACTCTCACACTTACTGTTTTTTTGTGTTATTTTTCTGATAGGAAAATCATTAAATTTCAATTTAAACTATCTGAATTTTCTGATGAATCTTAATTCGTAAGTTAACAATTGAAAAAAAAAAATCCTTACAAATTCCCTTATTGACTCGTCAAGTATTTGAGCTTAACAATTTTAACAAAATATTACAAGAACAATCATAAATGTATGGGCACCTTGACATGGTGTAATGGTTAACAAGATTGTCTTGCCAGAACAGTTATGACTGAGTAGTGAGTTCATTCCTCACTGGCTCCCACCATACTTTTGGCTACATCTAAGCTATGCTTAGAAAATCACCATAAATATGATTGTTGATTATTATTTAAAGAAGTAAGAGGGTACAAATAAAAGAATTCAAAATTTACAAGCTTTGCTATTTCAGTGAAATAGATATTGAATACATGGATGTTTTCACCTCTTCTATCTTTTCTTCCTTTATTTTTCTCCCTTCCTAAAACCAAACTGTATCTCTTATATATCTTTTCTTCCATTTCTATCATTGCAATCAAATTGAAAGAGCCCATTGCTTATCTTAAGTAATGGCATGCTGTAACGTACATACATACCAAGGAACAAGCAGAATTATAATGTTCCTCTGATCAATCAATTATAGTTAGTTTCATAATACAGCTACACAGTTCTAACCATGTTTCAAAAATGGAAGCTAAAAGCCTCGAATTTAATTTTGTAATTAAATTAAAGACATTAGTTCCATTTCATCCTCAAGCGAATTTTGGAGTAACTTTTAAAATTACTGGGTTTTAAATACACAGCTAAAACAAAATTCATGTTTTCAAGGTTACAGATAAATCTATTTTGCTAGACTAGGGGTGTCTGGGTCTTCAATATGTCTATATTTTAATGTACCAGTTATTGCTACGTTTTGGTAGTGGGTAGGGATGTATTTTTCAATGAAATCTAACATCTGTTAAAAGTGTGACGTCTGGATTTTTAAAAAATTTTATTGTAAATGGCTAAAATTCTTACGGCATTTTTTTCTTTATATATTTAAAGATTTTTGGGGGTGTTTAGGTAAGAATACTTTTTATTTAACTATTTAAAATATTTTTACTTTTAATTTTTAATATACTATATTTCTTTCAAGAACAATTAAATGTAATTAGAATCCCTTACAGTTTGTAGAATTATTATCACATCAAGTATATTACGAATTTTTAAAAATGTTATATTTAAATATTATTTAAGTAAAATTTTCATTTCTCTGATTTAGTAAACTTTATTTATTTATTTAATTACAATTTAAAAGAAGTTTAGGTTAGAATTCATTTTAATTAACTACAATTTTAATTACAACTGTAAAATATTTTCCTTATTAGTTTTTTTAGACTATATTTCATTTAATAGAAGTAAATGTATTAGAATTACTTACATTAAGTAAAATTATTTTTCTATATCAAGTATATTTATATTACGATTTTTTAAAAATTTTATATTTAAATATTATTTAAGTAAAATTTTTTTCTTTTTCTTCACTTACGGCAAAAATAGCTAATTCATTTCTCTGAAATATATATATATATATATATATATATATATAATTTTTAAAGGAATATGTTGTAAATTTCTGTTTGTTCTTCTGCTCAAATATTTAAATTGTTTGTGTTGTAAGTATTTCTGTAAATTTGACTTTATTTTTCAGTTCATTTGGAGGTGGTAAGAAAGAAAAGAAAGAAGACAAGGACTCAACCCTGAATATTTTCTCTTTAGCTTCAGGACATCTCTACGAGAGATTCCTCAGGTTAGTCTTTGCTATTTGAATGCCAAAATTTAAGCATTTGTTGTACAATGTCCTTCCACCCACCTTGCAGTCGTTCTGGGTATGAAGATAAACTAAATCAAGCAGCAAGGCCTCTGATTGGAAGATTAGAGGTTTTGAAGAGCGTGGAACCACCTCTTAATTGCTGTTGTTCCCAGATTCACCCCAACCTGGGGTGGTAGTACCTTTTAGGGTCCAAGCTATGGGCAAATAGTTAACTCCCAAACTGGCTTCCAGAAGATGTTCTTTTCTGAAGAATATCTCAGCTGGAGTTACCTCCAGTTGCTAGACCTTTTCCTACAGCAAAACGTGTATAGACCATGTCAATCATCAATGAAAGGCTTCATGAAGCTTCCTTTTCTTAGCCATGATAATTTTTATACTCATTATTTAAAATCTTTTAAAAATAATAGTTTTTAAAAAGGTCACTGTATCAAGCAAGTCATTGTCAAAATGCATGAGTAAGGAAGATGATTATTTAGATTGCTTAGACTGTCGTTTTCATCTTTATTGCCATATTCACAATGTTTCAGTTGTTGGACACTCCAATCTTCTTCAGGTGATTGGAATTTCGAACTGAACCTTTTATTTCATCCACCGGAGTAGATTGTTCTAGTTCCACATGCCATGCCTCTTTCAGATGTCCCTTTTAACTCAACTCTGCAAGTTTTGTTCACCACTACATTAGCCAATTAGCCACTTATTGAACTCACAACTCTTTGGGACAAGTCACTGGATCCAACCAACACTTCTATCCACTGGGTCATGCATCCATCAGTGTATGAATTTTTTTTGAAATTCCACTCACCTGAAGAAGGCCAGACTGTACAACAGCCAAAACATTGTGAAAACTGAAAATAAAGATGAGAACAATGTAAATGTTGTAAATAATTACCATACCTCGTCTTAGAAATATAGACAGATAAAAAAGATGATATAGATTTTTTTTCTTGTTTTTAACTGAAGATTATAAGACGTAATACCTTAAGATGGCTGGTAAACCAACTGGCTGAAATCTAGCAACTGAAACAATAAAATGAACATACTATTCTTAATGATCCATTAAATGATTTTTCTTTCTATATTTCTGAGACGAGCTATTTACACTATTTACATTGTTCGGACTGTTCTCCTTATCTTTATTGTCATACTCATGACATTTCAACCATTTTATGCTCCAGTGATACATGTTGGAATTTTGAACCGAACCCTTTATTTAGTCCACTGGGGTAGATTTTTCTAGTTCCATGTGCTGTGCCTTTCAGGAAGTGTCAGTTTCAGTTACTTCCCTTTAGTAACTCAACTCTGACTCTGGCCAAGTATTGAACTCACAACTCTCAAATGATTTTTATTTAGAATTGACATTTTATTCTTTGTCTTAGGTTTTTGTAATTGAAACCTAAGAATAATTTTTTCTCACAATGAAAAATATTAAAAAAAAATATATATATATATATATATATATATATATATATGTGTGTGGGAACAGGTGGGTAAATCCATTTTGCCAAATCTCAAATTCCTGTTAGATTATTTTTGTCTAAATATTTACTTGCTAACTGTTGTTGTGACTCTTTAATTAAAAAAAAATATCTTTTTTGCTGCTTTTCAGGATTATGATGTTGAGTGTACTGAAGAACACAAAATCAAAAGTAAAGTTTTGGTTCTTAAAGAATTATCTTTCACCAACATTCAAGGTAAATTTTTTTCTTTGTTCTATGCAAATATACTTCAAGTGCAAGTTTATATATATATATATATATATATATATATATATATTCTCACATAGATTATATAGGGAAAACAAGATGAAGAAAAAGAGATGAGGATAAAACACATCAACTAAAAACATTTCCTCATTTCTCTTTTTATTCATATATATAGTGTGGTATGAAGAGACAAAGTGAAAATTTATTAAACATGCATTTTAGCGAGGCTGTCTGCTCTCTTTGGCTACCTCAGGTTAGAATGAAAGAATATATCTGAGGAAAAATGCCTTGATATCGCTGAGGATAAGTAGTAACCATAAATCAAATTAGATATCACGTCGAATGCCCAAACTCAAGAGAGTGTCTGCTTGTTTGTTTGTTTTCTCTTTAGCTATTCATATTGTTTGGTGGTGTTGAATTTTAAATTAATCCTCTGAAATTCATCTTTTCTCTTCTTCATGCTTCTATTTGGTCTAAAGGCCTCTATAATATACAATAAAATTTTTATTATCATTATTGTTTTTTTATCGCTCAAATTTTTTTCATTGACCTACTATATCTGTATAAACGAAAGATGTAGGCAATCATTCATTTGAGATAATAATACATATTTTTATATCAAGAACAGTATTGAGAATTTCCTCTCTCTCTCTCTCTCTATATATATATATATATATATATATATATGTGTGTGTATGTATGTTTGACGTGTGAACTAAGTTTCATTGTTTCCCAACTCATCGGGCACAAGATATATCTTGTGCCTGATGAGTTAGGTAACCAACAAAACTTAATTAATACACCAAATGTAGGTCTTTGTATATTTATTAATATGTATTTCTTTCCTCTGTCTAACCACATTGAGTGGAAAATAACCTTATGGAAAAATTTGGTAATTATTTATTTACTTACCTGTATGTGCATACCACCACATGCATATATGCTTGCTAATATCTAGTTATTTTATTATTTTATATATATATATATATATATATATATATATATATATATATATGAATGATTGTCCATGTATGCATCTTTATATAAGATACAGTAGGTCAACGAAAGAAATTTGAGATAAACTGTATATTACTTTATTATTATTTTTTTTAATTTATATTATCTCATTAACCTTTACTAATCTACTTTTTGTATGAATGTTTCATTGTAATATAAATTAAACTGCACCACATTTTTGGTTTAAAAGAACTGATCTGGCATGTAAATTTTCAGGAAAACAACTGAGACATTACTCTATTTATTGAACTATTTAGTTCATACCATGTTGACTGATAAACTCCAACAAAAAAAATTCTGAAATTGCCATATCAGTGAAAAAATGTTTTCACTTAAATGTTCAAAAATTCAACTTTAGCATTGTGACTGCATGCGCTATAAGATTGTATCTGTTATCAATAAAGCACTTAAAAAAAAAAACATTATTTCGATTTGCATTAGATTTTTTCATCTCGGATGCTACCTGAATTTTACCAAAAGAAAAAATAATTTCCATACTTGATGATGACCAGTGAAGCTGTCGAAAGTGCTTGTATATTTAAGGAAAACCTAATACAGTTCCTTCCTAATTTTAAAAAAACAAGGATCTTAACATTCATTGAGTGGTTAGTGGGTTAATGCATTTTTTAAAATTTAGTTAGCGAAGTGAATTCACCATTTTATCTCATTAACTCTACTAATTTACTTTTTTGTATGAATGATTCATTTATATATATATATATATATATATATATATATATATATATATATATATATATATATATATATATATATGGGTAGTTGTTGTTCTTTTAAATATATACTGTTACTATAATACTTTATAAATCTAATTGCAAAAAATACTATATATTATAAAAGCCATATACATCCAACTTAAGCACTCATCCATAAATAAAAATAACTATTGTTTGAGAAACAACTTTATTGAGTGCATATAAACAAAATTATATTAGTAAGTATTCCAAATGCATTATTACATGTTGATGTCACATGCTGCGACAAGTTGCATTTGATTTAAGCCTTCAAAAAAATAACTGCACTTTCAAAAATAATGCTGCAATTTACTTCAGACACATTTAATTTTATTTTCTCACACACACATCTGTTGATGGCTCATAAGTTGAAAGCTTCGTACTACACAATATGAATTTTGGCTAGTTTATCCACACAATAATCCAATTTGTGAAATGATATTTGTATCTTAGAAAAAAAAGATAATTAACTGTAATAGACACAAAATATCTTAACAATATTTCCATGTAAATATAATTTTAAATGAATATTAAATATAATTTTTTTTATTTTTTTAAACTGTGACTTATGTATATATGCCATGCTTAATTACTGGATATTGTATATAATGTCTAATTTTGTATATCTATATGTATAGATATAAGTTTGAGTGTATAATCAGGGCTTCACTAATTATAGATTTATTTAAAATCTGTGGACAGACATTTTTTTCCACAGTAGCTGAGAGATTTTTAGTCCTATGGTATTTTCTGTTCTAGCTCTGAGATTTGCTTCAAATATTGGAGTTGTTTAGAAAACCTATGTCTTCAAATTCTGTTGCCCATTGGCAATAACCAATTCCACAAAACATGAGTTTGCTTTTTATTTTAAGATTCCCTGTATCTTTTCTGGGGTAGCCTTCTACTCTACTGGCCAGTTTGCTAAGCAGAAAAATCTTTGGAAGACTGTAGTCTCTCATTCATGACATGTAGTCTGCCTGTGGAAGTGAATTTTTTGCAGTATAGATTCAATATTTATGCTCCTGGATGTCCTCAGAACTTTAAGTCCATTGTATTCTGTGACTGATGTAGCAGCAGCAACATTGACGTAAACAGTCAAAAGTATCTTCTCTCTGTTGTCCTGGATATTTAGTGCTACACATTCTATCCAAGTAACAATTTATCAACATGTTATCTTTCGACTTCTTCTATGACACAGGCAATCATGTCTCTTCACAATTTCCTGTTTTTTGTAGCTCTTATTAAGGTTTTTTTTTTCTCATAACCCCTGATCTGCCAAAACTTTGTACAAACCCATTAGGTTATTCACTGAATTACTTGGGTCCCTCTTGCTATCAATATATGTCCTGTGAGTGCCAGATTCTCCAAGCCTTCTTTCTACATTATATGCCCTAGAAATTTCAACACTCTTTCTGATGCTATGTATAAGTGTTCTTTTTGTTTCCACTTAATCTAAAATTCTATTGTTGCTTACATATTCAGTACATGCTATTCTCAGCATCCTTCTGTAGAACCACATCTCTGTTGCCTCAATTGTTCAGCATTCACTGCTTATAGGAGGACCAATATTACATAGCAGTTCAGTACACTTTTCTTTGTTTCTAATGAAATTTTCCTGTTTCTTAATACTTTGCTTAGTTTTTGGAAGGCATCTTTCACTATTCCAATTCCAGCAAACATTGTTTAAGTCTTTGAAATATTTTTCAGTTTCATGAATTTTTCTTTCAGGTCCTAATATTTTCCTCCCCTCCCCACTTATGTCGAAATATGATGATGCATCGAGGAACAATCATATGAGAGAGTGAAAGCAAGCAATCTGATTCTGAATCTTGTATTGTTATTGGTTCTGATTTTGTTTCAGGATTTTATTCCCTACATGGCCCAGGAGTATGGCTTTGAATATGAACTTGTCCAGTACAAATGGCCACGTTGGCTCAATCAACAAAAAGAAAAACAGAGAGTTATATGGGGGTAAGTTTGTTTTTTCTTTCTTTTTTTTCCATTATAAAAAAAATGTAAACTTGAGAAATTAACACCACAACTAATTTATTTTTCCCTCATGATGACTGCAAAAAAAAACATAAATATTCTCTTTCAAATTTGAACTGTTTTAGTTTCTTTGTATACAAAATGGTCACAATTAGTGATTGAATTCATCTTTTTCAAGGTTGGCTACAGGAGTAAGAGCTTTTTTCCCTCCTGCGAGGGATCATGAGGTGGTTATAGTAGTTTGCCCTAGTATACTTACTCATTTCGTTGTTAGCAAAGCATTTTGTTGATAAGTGGGACATGGAGAGAGGGAGAAAAGTGGATTCAGGCCTTCTCCATAATCTGCTGATTCCCTTTTTCATACCAGTAGAATGGCAGTCTATCATGCATAAAAATTAGAATCACATTTACTGACTTTTTTAAAAGGAGCAATTATTTTGGTCAGATATTACTTTTCATGAGATAAATTTTCTTATTAGATTGTGGAAAGTGTTTTGAACTTCAAGATCAGTCTTAGTTATAGAATTGTACTTCTGTTAGTATAACAAACCAATGTTAATTTGAAGGACATGTGCCAGCAAAAAAACTCACGTGGGTAGCAATGATAGATATATATATATATATATATATATATATATATATATATATATATATATACACACACACACACGTTTCATTAAATAATATAGACAAGTTTTGTCTTTATTTTAGGTAAATTTTTTTCATAACGTCTATGTTTAATAACATTATCGTTCCATATTTTTTTTAATACAATCTAAGCTTTTGGCTTACATAAGCTATTATCAAAGATGTCAATTACAACATATTAAGCAATATACGGACAAGACAGTGATGATAGTCTGTCATTGTTTACATATATGATTTCTAAGCAACGATAAACACGTGCATATAAGACGCTAGAAGCGAAAATCGCACCACATTTCATGATGTCACACATGACCACACGAGAGTGAATTGGAGAAGTATGAAGTATGGGAAGCCGTTTGATATATTTAAATTTTAAAGCCAATACAAAAAAAATATTGCTGAAAATTTCTCAGTTCTGTTTCTTAAAATTTGACCTACAAAATCGAAACAAGTCCCTAAAGAGATTTTTTTTTTTTTCTTCTTTTTTTTTAAGTTCATCAAAGATGGGTAGGGGTTTTATTTATTCTTTAAGGGTATCCTAAAAATCCAGTTTCTGAATTATTCTGTTTCTTTTTTGGATTTATAGCAACATTTTATGGCAATGATATTGATTATCTTCATCTTTTTTTCATGTGACTCATCAATGATTCTCATTGAAATTGTCAATCTTGTTCCAAACTAATAATAATACATCCTGTTTATTTCCATGGAAGCTACAACAAATACAGGAAGCACATTTGCATAGAGCAAGTTGTCATCGACAAAATACTGTTTTTTTCTTTTTCCACTTTTTTCACATCAGTAATGACACTGTCAGGAAAATGTTACCTATATAACGTTTCATTCACTCTAACATCTCTTGTCACGCACATCTCTTGTCACAAATGCAGAAACAAATTACCCACTGCCTAACTGTGCTCACATTTGTGACATAATGGGTCACTGCTCAGTTGGCTCAGGTCACCCAAATACGGTAAATGATTTTATCTGGGCCTGAAGCACCAGCAGTTTTATGACAACCAACAGTAAACCCAAGATATGAGAATTTCAAAGCCATGATTTAGTGACCCATTGCATTTGGGTATAAGTGAATATAATGAACCCAACTGGAATTGGAACTCTGCTCTTCGATTAACAATTCTGAGCCATTGATATATTATGACACCCATATATCCAAGCTTACAGCACATGGTATTCCCAAACGGTTACCCATATACTGACCAGGATTGACGTTGCTTAACTTGGTGATAGTACAGGATGTGGCCATAAGCATTGACAGCTAGATTGATGGGGGAGATATGTAGAGTCAGGGATAAAAGAAAAATCTCACTATCCAAAGTGCCAAGTGAATCTATTGAATAAAGAAACTTGTATATTGAAAACCAGGTTTGTATTTTCTTTCATGAGGATATTTCAACTTGCATTCCCTTGTTGAGTGTATACTGGGCCTTTCCTAGTTTTTGTTCCCACTGATATAAATGGTAATCGAAATGGGCTGAAAAACTGCTGTAGGGGGCCTGACTGTATATTTACACAGTTACTGGTTGGTCTTCATCAACAAGTGTTAGTGGGTGCAATTTTTTTTTTTTCACATGACATCTCTGATATACATGCACTTTCATGTCAGATGCCATTTTGCCAGATTTCTACCCAGCTTTTGTTTATAATGAAGTGCAAAAAGAAAATTAACTACTTTTCACATTGTCCATCAAAATAAACATAATTTTGATCTTCTTATTTTAGCATTATATAAGAAATGTTGACAATTTTTATTTTGGCACTCATTTTTGGAGTTGATTTTTTTATATCACATTTCAAACCTCTCTAGTCTCCAGCTGAATTTGCAGGACAGCTAAACAAACAGATAGGGGGATATGAGTAAGTGAAGAAGATTTAACTTGGTAGTGTTTGGGACAATGATAGAAATATGACATTTTAAATTTTAAAGCCAATACAGAAAAAAAAAAAAGGAATGTTGAAAACTTATCAGGCTACCTGATTTCCTCAAAACAGTATCTTGATGTTTGCTCATTGCAATACTGATTTTAGGAAGTGGCTCACCCATAAAATTTTATCACCCTCTCTTGAGAAAGGTACAAATACATGTCTTCTTCCACCAGCTGTGGGTTATATCACAGGGTAGACTGGGCTCTCTAGCTGTGATTGCAACCAATGATAACTCAGAGATCAAAACCAGTTTATTCTATTTTTAAATTATTTTTCCAGAAAAGCTATTAAAATGATATTTGAAGAATGACTTTTTTTTCTTTTCCTTTTTTTTTTTCTTGTTTTAGCTACATTTTTGAAAAAAACTTACAAAGAAGTAAATTGTTCACTTTCTTAAAACTCCGTTTCCATTTCTGTTATTTTTATTACAGAAGAAATGTTTCTCTATAAAATATGAATTCATCCCAAGGTATGAAGTTCCAGATAGACAAAATGTACTTGAGGATGTATCAAATGCCAAAATAGAAATACACACACATTTATGAATTTCTCCTTCCATTTATTTTCTTTTAACCAGCAGCTAAGTTTGGAGACCTGAAGATATGATTGATATATAGAAATTAATATATATATATATATATATATAATATATATATATATATATATATATATATCCCCAGTGGCGTGCCTTAATCCATGCAGCATCCTATGTTCTCTCTTCCTTTTGGCTGTTGTTTTTCTATGGAAGCCCAGCTTAATAATTTTACAGTCTTTTCTGGCTTCTTTCTGTGTTGTTTCTCTCTCTCCCTCTCATGATTGGTTTGTGGAGTCTTTATCTTTGGGAAAACACCAGCAGAGTCGCCATCTTCCTCCCCAACACACACTTGTAGTTTGTCCTTTTCCCCCCCCAAGCACAGTATCACCTACAACCATCCCTTGCACACTTAGCTACCAGCCATTCAGGCTGTTCTTTATCTTGTGATTACAAGAGGATTGTGCCACTAGTATCCCTGGGGCTATGCTATCCCCACACTGCTAATGGCTCCTCTCCCATATTGCCGGCAACAACGCAATTGGTCGGATATCTCCCTTCCTACCTAGCTGTCAGCCATTATCTTCTTGCTCTTTCCTATCTGCCATCTCAATAGCTCCTGGCTATCCAAAATTTGTTAGGGGCTGGCCTTTCCTGACTGATAAGTCACTACTGATATGATAAAGCTTTTGCTTCATACAAGTTGCATACACCTTCTTTTCCACTTGATCCATTTCTAAATATCTCTCTCTCTCTCTCTATCTCACACACAAACGCATACAACTTTCGTTTGATCTGTTGAGACGGAAAGAGACTTGGAATTGTCAAACGCTTGAGACTTCCTTCTCTCAGGCTTCTATCAATTTCCTTCACTAATCAGCTAAGGCTTTGTTTCCTCTGAAGAAATCTGTGAAACAAGTGCTTGGAGTTTCAGCTTTGCATATGGCATTGTTACAGACTTTGTGGTTTCTCCCTTGCAAATTCCTCAGATTAAGGAATTGTGTCATGAAATTAAACATCAGTGGAGGAGAAGAGACAGCCTTTTGTGCGTGTGTGTGTGTGTCACTATGAGGTTGAACAGAATAATGCAAAGCGCTGATTGCTCTGTAAATAAATATCTCTGGAACACCTTTTGTAAGTACAGGTCCAACTTCTGTAGTTTAATCTCCATTGTTCCATGTAAGCTTAGCCATTTGGTCAAAGTATTAGAAGTAACAAGATCAGATTATAAACTCAGCAAAACACTTCTCACCTACTTGCAATGTAACTACCATAGGTACAATGGTCTGATAAAGACTCAAAGAAATAGTATATGTAAATAAAAATGCTTTACTGAGGAGCTTGTTAAATTACAGTTTAATCTAAGTAATTTAATTTTCAGGATATGAATTATAGCATTATAGCCTCAGAGTTTACCTCCCCAATGGCTCTATTTAAAGAGAAAAATTTATCGTGTTAGGTTTGGGTCAAAGAGAACTGAAATAGGCCAAGAATTCTAGATGTGAAAGATTTTTTAAAAAAAAAAAACTTAACTTTAATTAAAAGCATTACACTAAATATGTAATAGAATGGATGTTAAAATATTTGACCACTGTTTTTTTTTTTTTTTTTTTTTTTTCATAAAAGCAAGCTTTGAAGGTAGATAAAAGGTTTCAGATTCTCAAAGCCCATTGTAATGATAATGTAATATTTAGCTCTCTCATTTTTTGAATTGAGGGATCATCAGAGAATGCTCGAGATAGGAAAGAAAAAAAACCTTGTCTTATTTCAAAATAGTAAGAAAAACGGAACCTGAAATTTGCAACCACATGTATTAAGCTTTGAGGGTTAAAAATGGATATCAGGTGGCCATTCT